TTGGATCATCAAGTAAATACTAAATGGCTCTGGATCATCTAGTAAATACTAAACGGCTCTGGATCATCTAGTAAATACTAAACGGCTCTGGATCATCTAGTAAATACTAAACGGCTCTAAATCATCTGGTAAATACTAAACGGCTCTGAATCATCTGGTAAATACTAAACGGCTCTGGATCATCTGGTAAATACCAAACAGCTTTGGATCATCTAGTAAATACTAAATGGCTCTGAATCATCTGGTAAATACTAAACGGTTCTGGATCATCTAGTAAATACTAAACGGTTCTGGATCATCTGGTAAATACTAAACAGCTCTGGATCATCTGGTAAATACTAAACGGCTCTGGATCATCTGGTAAATACTAAACGGCTTTGGATCATCTGGTAAATACTAAACGGCTCTGAATCATCTGGTAAATACTAAACGGCTTTGGATCATCTGGTAAATACTAAACAGCTTTGGATCATCTGGTTAATACTAAACAGCTTTGGATCATCTGTTAATTACTAAACGGTTCTGGATCATCTAGTAAATACTAAACGACTCTCGATCATTTGGTAAATACTAAACGGCTCTGGATCATTTGGTAAATACTAATCGGCTCTGAATCATCTGGTAAATACTAAACGGCTCTGGATCATTTGGTAAATACTAATCGGCTCTGAATCATCTGGTAAATACTAAACAGCTCTGGATCTTCTGGTAAATACTAAACGGCTCTGGATCATTTGGTAAATACTAATTGGCTCTGAATCATCTGGTAAATACTAAACAGCTCTGGATCTTCTGATAAATACTAAACGGCTCTGGATCATCTGGAAAACTTTTCTGAAGCTATCACCAAACCGATATTTTCAAGCACACAAGAAAATAAATGAATATAGCTTTCCATTAGTATTTTTTCTAATATATTTATGTTAAGGGGATTTCCGTATTTCTAACAGGACACGTTAGCTTATTTGATGTGGTCTAATGCAGTCTGTGTACCAGAAGTCTCCAGTGTTGCACATACATGCTCGGTTAAAAAAAAAAATGTGGATAAACGTTTCGATTTTGTTGTTGTTGATTTGGGATAATCTTACTGAAATCATTTGTTACAGAAGAGCAGTGTATTTCGTTTAATTCCTCGAATAGAAGCAGATCCCCACTCTCGCAAACTAGGCATTACCTTTAACGTGGTCAAATCTTTCAATAAACGTGATTGAAATATTTGGAATGCTTGGCTTGATCTTTGTTACTGTGCTTTACTGGAACAGGTCTCGTGTTATATTTTCATGAAACTATTTCATCCTGCCAATCCTTATGTTATCTTTTGTAGGAGTTTCCTCCAGAACATTCTTTGATATATTGTCACTAAGAGATAACTGCATATCAAGAACAGAAGCAGTCGAGGTAACCCACCCCTGTTGCTCTTCACAATGTATCTACACGGAACATTAGAGAACACGTGAATTTGAACAAAAACACCCGACTATAAATATATATTTTTTAACTATTTCAAAATTTACTTTTATATAATTTTACCAATAAATATTCAGTCGATCCTCAGCCATTACGATAAAGAAATGTTTCTTTTAAAACGAATCATTGCTGTTTCAGTTGGAATAAGCTCTCTTACGAATCGTTTCGCTTTTCCAATGTTACGCTCTGTGAGAATAACATTTGCCGCTAGAGGGAATCTATTGCTTGAACAGAAGCAATCTTAGGTGGTGGTCCTGTGAGCGGAAACTCTGATAAGAGTGGTTCTAAACACGTGCAGGACACGAGCTTTTGTTTTGCCCCACTTGAAGTCCTTTCTAAATCTAAATTTCGTTTGTTGTTGATTGGAGATTATAAATGAATGAAGTGTTTGAATTACTTGAAAGCCAGGGATTAGAATGTGAATTTTACAGAAAGGAGAAATAAACTTTTCATACATATTGAGACTTAAACGTGATGACAAATACAGTGAAACAATTCAAAGTCCTTTCAAGAAATGAGCTACATTGATACTGACTAACGGAATTCCTGTTGTATTTTGACATCATTAATCTTGACCAACTATCACATAGATAGAGCTTTTAGACCACAAGGTTCGGCGTATCTTGTGATTAACGTGCCCGGACTGTTAATACGAAAATTCATGGTTCGCGTCGCGTTACTACAATACGTTCTTCGCACTTTGTAGCCATAGGTGCGCTTTAAGTGTTCTTTAATGGGAGCATTCACTCAAGATAATAAGTTTAAAAGTAGATAAGGCGCAGGTAGTCCTTGTACCTTTGGACGAAATTCTGAAACAAACTACACTGCCACCTGGCTTAAAGTAACTTTTCAGTAAGGTTTTAGTTTTTTTCCGCCATTTTGGATATTTGGACAATTTTCTCCCCTTGCATCCCGAATATTTAATGAGAAAGTAATTGGTCATGTCCGTATAATACATTTGGTTTTCATTATTATATATTATGCATATTACTATTATTATTATCTGTCATCTGCTATTCTTATATTCTCTATCACCCTGTTTTGTTTTTGTTTTTTTAAATACAAATAATACAATATTACAGACAAAAAAAGAAAGACTTTCTGTTAGGTTACAATTGCTGGTGTGGCTCATCTGTTTAAGTCTATTTTCAGTTATCAATTGGCAATAAGTAGTTTGTTCTATTTAGGTTTTCTTTGTAAGATTGGCGCGATTCTTAGGCAATGTAAACTTATACTGGATTGAAGTATAAAGCGATTGTACCTAAATAACGTTGCATGATTCACGATTGTTTTAAGAAGGGACACATCTATGTAAGAGAAATTGGATCTCGTGTTTTGTACCTTAATGGTTACCCACCTGTAACTGTTATCAGTGCAGTTTTAGATCTTATCCCCTTGACGCCCTCGGCTGCTCCGACCTGACATTGAAATTCGGCATCATCGTCTAGCTGAACGTTCACAATCTGTAGAGAGAAATCTCCTGAAAAATACAACGTAGGCTTTAAAACCCTAATAATCTAAAGAGAGAAATCTCCTGAAAAATACAACGTAGGCTTTAAAACCCTAATAATCTAAAGAGAGAAATCTCCTGAAAAATACAACGTAGGCTTTAAAACCCTAATAATCTAAAGAGAGAAATCTCCTGAAAAATACAACGTAGGCTTTAAAACCCTAATAATCTAAAGAGAGAGAAATGTCCTGAAAAAAACAACGTAGCCTTTAAAACCCTAATAATCTAAAGAGAGAAATCTCCTGAAAAATACAACGTAGGCTTTAAAACCCTAATAATCTAAAGAGAGAAATCTCCTGAAAAATACAACGTAG